TTCTACTCTAGTGACCACTTCCGCCAATGAAAGTGTTGGCTTCTAGGTGAGAGACTCGTTAAAGTGTCCCGCCTTAAGTCCATCATGGAACTCCCCCACATATATTTATTGGTTTGGTGGGACAATCCTAATGGTAGTTTTGTTAAACTGGGAAAGGTAGTAACTCAGCGACTTTGATGGACCCTGTCATATATTAAACAGGAAGATGATAGAAGCCTTCTTGTGACAGCTGTTAGCGAACTGGTTTACGAGTTTTTTTTACCAATTTGTAATACCTAGCAATGATGGCATATGCTAGACCTATATACCATCGCAGTATGACGTCCTTGAAAGTGTCATGCAACAACTGACACTTCAGTGAGTCAAACACTCCTATGATGGCATTTGTGTGTTGATGAATACGACATGTTTGTAAGGATCACTACATCCATTAAACTTGGCCAAAGAAGGAAGTTTGAATCCCTCGAGGATAGGCGGTCCCCATATCCTGTCTGAGAGTGGTTAGAGATCCAACTCTTCTATCTCTTCTAATGGATTTGACTCATGTTGGCATTGTCTAATATTCTGGACATTGTCCTCTAGTGTCTGATTCCGATGGCGTAGTTCGTCCATGACAGCATGCATCGCAGCTAAGGTGTCAGCAACACCCCTACTACTATTACATTTTGGTGTAAGGAATGAAGCTCTCATGTTAACCGTGGCTGAGGATGGCTAGGTGTATAAGTGGACGATAACAGTAAGTATGGTGATTGTGAGTAAGAAAGTGTGGGCAAAGTTAGTTTTAGCAGAGCTCCACGAAGGACGTCATTGTACTGGTTAAAAAGTACACGTGTCCATGTTACCCCTGCAAAAGCAGGTGTACTCAGAGGCTTAAGTAGGTATATTACATTATATGATGGTTAGTGCTTACCCACTGCGGTGAGAAGTCTTGTATGATGGGGTTTATGATGGTTTAGAGGACCTGATCACATGAGGTGAGAGGCTATGAAAATTTATCTTATGCTTAGGTATAAGGTTATAAATTAGGATTTATCTTCTCCCCCTAGGAAGAAGTATTTATAAAGGTCTTTTGGATATAGGGTTTACGAAACCTTCAAGAGCAACAACCGCTCCCTTATGATTAGGGAAGACTATTGACTACCTATTTTTTAGGGAGTCGTGGTAAGACTCCCTCTTACAAACCTAATGGAAGATAACGATATTGTACACATAATTTATCCCAAAGGCGAGCCTCATATTTGTGGGAATGTCGCCTAGACGACATCACTCCATGTGAAAACCCATAAATCACCCTTATTTAAGACCTTCACAAATATAACTCTGCAATAAATAATGTTATGGTCCAAGAAAGTTCACTTGTATTATAATGTTTATATTATAGACCATATAATTGTCTCATTTGATATAAACATTAAATAATATTAAACATATGAAAATATTTACATTTTTGTTAAATATTAAAACTCTTATATCATTTTTCTATAATAAAAATTTGAAATTATGGTAAAACCATCTTCAAACATGTGCAAGAAATCATAATTTTTATTGTGGTTATCAATCTTTATATAAAAAAGGCTTAATTGTAATTTTGGTCCCTCTACTTTCATTTTTTGAGTTTTAATCCCCCTATTTTAAAATTCGGAATTTTTGTCCTTCTATTTTCAATTTTTTAAAGTTTTGGTCCCCCTATTTTAAAATCCAAAATTTTGATCCCTCTATTTTCATTTTTTTTTTTAGTTTTGATCCCCTATTTTAAGTTTTGTTTTGAATTTTAATCCCCTTTTTCAATTGGGAACAAATTTAATAGGGGACCAAAAGTTTTAAAAAATTAAAATAAGGGGACCAAAACTCACAAAAAATGAAAATAGAGGGACACAAATTTTAAATTTTAAAATAGGGGAATCAAAACTCAAAAAAACTGAAAACAAAGGGACAAAAATTCTGGATTTTAAAATAGGGGATTAAAACTAAAAAAATAAAAATAGAGAGACCAAAATTGCAATTAAACCTATAAAAAATTAATTAAAAATGATAAATTAAAAATTACGATATTTAAATTCTTTAAAAATAAGTGATTATATTTTAAATAAATGTACTAGTAAATCTTATAAAATGATATTTTCATAAAAATGTATAATTATTTGATCTTTAATGAGGGTGTAAAATAAGATTTGAATATCTAGTTTGGACCTTAAAATAATTTCAATATAACAAGGCAATTTTTATTCCAAGAAATGAAAATTACAATTTGAATAAGGGTGGATAAGATGAATATGTAGTGGTTGGTTTGGTGGTGAAGATACAAGTTTTAGAAGTGTTATTCTCTATATTTTATAAATAAATCTGATGTCAATAATATATGTGTTGAATCAATTCATAAATTAGAAGGGGTGCGTAAGATAGCTCATCTATTGTTTAATTGAACTAAATGAATGTAAATTATTTATCTAGTTGAGTTAATTAAATCTAAATTGTATATATAAGATTTGATGACAATAATATTTTTTTATATTAATTATTAATATAATAAGTTGATATTTATAAATCAACAATTAGAAAAAAAATCATAACATATAATTTATTTTTAAAAAAAATTAATTGAACATCTTCATTAATAGACATATAAATTAGTCTTCATATTAATTTCATATTAATTGATTATCAGGTCGTATAGGGAGTCTTCTTTATAAATAAATAAAAAAGTGAATAAGGTGAAGTAATTGAAAGGTGTGAATAGTCTTAGATTTAGTTATAAGAACTTGTCAATAAACATGTCCATATTATTTATGGATCTGACATATACAACTACTAGTCCTTTTCAACTATACAAGTTTTAGAAAATTGGATTTAAGAACCTCTCAAAATGACATTAATTGTTCTCTAAAGATCACACCTATGTATAATTAGTGATAGAGAAAGCAGTGTAAGTGCTTATGTATGGGTCTCCATACCTCTTTTATTACACTAATTAATACAAGAACATGTTTCACACATCACATTTCAAAGATACTTTGTGGGGATGTGGATAGTATTTGTCCTAGTGGTTAGGCCCATGACATTATTTGGTTGTTTTGAGTATCACACTTGTTGGACTCTTTAGGCCCATGTCCAACTTTGACTTAGTTATTGGTCCATTCATATAATATACTATATACTTTGGGTATGTTTTTGTTGGTTCAAAAAAGAAGGTTGATAAAGAGGGATCGATATAGACATTACATATTAGTGTGACTAAATATATAAGAAAATTACGAACTAAATTATTGTTGAATACAATACATTTACAATAAAATTCGCCTACGATATATTTTAGTCGTGTGTATGGTGGTAGCTCTTGATTCTCTTTTTTGTTGAATGGTTTGATGGTGGAATTTGTTGTGGTTGTTTGCTTGTTTTTTTGTTAGTTTTTTTCTTTGTTTTCTTGTTATTTATTGGCTTGGCACCAGATGTATCGGTTGAAATTTATCTCAGGGCTTTTGCTTTTTCTTTTTGATATATTATTGACCATTTTTAACAAATTAAAAAAAGAGAAAAGAATAAGAAAAAATTAAAATACTCACTTTTACTTTAGATTTTCAATTATCTATAAACTTGTTATTAAAAGAATCAACACATGCATGCATCCAAATAAATGGTAGAAATTAGGAGATTGAAGTTGACACAAATGAGATACGAAGAGGAAGAGAGAAACGTGAATGAAATGAGGAATAAAAAACAATTCTATTTTTTCTTCTTATTTTTTTAGTCTCAATATATATATATATATATATATATATATATATATATATATATATATATATATATATATATATATATATATATATATATATATATATATATATATATATATATATATATATATATATATATATATATATATATATATATATATATATATATATATATATATATATATATATATATATATATATATATATATATATATATATATATATATATATATATATATATATATATATATATGGCTAACAATAGTTTGAGAGTCGATCCGATAAATAATTTGTTGGATTTAGTTCATAAATCAAATGAGTCGAACATGAGCTCAAAATTAAGTTCGTAAAATCAATGAGTTGAATTTGAACTATAAATATAAATGAGTTATAGTAAAGATTTTAGATTTTTTAAGTTTTAAGTTTTTTTTTTCTTTCATTTTTGAGCTATTTAATAGGGCAGAGTTCGAGTTATCGCGCCGAACCGAGTTATTTTTGAATTTTAATCAATCTGAGTTCAAATTGGAAAAAAAATTGTAAAGAACTCGAATTGAATTTCAAGCTGAATCAATTCTTATCAAATCGAGTCAAACTAAACTAAATTTGACTCAATTCGACACGTTTCCAATATATATTTATATATATATATATATATATATATATATATATATATATATATATATATATATATATATATATATATATATATATATATATATATATATATATATATATATATATATATATATATATATATATATAAAATAAAAATTGGGAAAATTTTGGTGTGGCTTTAGCCACAAGATGCCTCAATGTCCATCCGTCCATATTGATGTATAATTTTTTTTCATTTTTTTTTGGAATTCAACTGTTGAAAGAATTTTGTAATTTTTTTTAAATAGGCAATAATATAAAATGAGGATAAGGGGGGTACTAAACCCATAAAATATAGGAAATTTACTTCCGCTTAATACAGTCAATTGGTTCACAAAACCAATCATAAAACAAGCACATAGGAAAGTTATCGCCTCCATACATCCGCCTCCAAGAGAAGAATTTAACTGAGTTTAACATATCATCAACCGACACTGGTCTATCCTTGAAGATGAGATTGTTTCTACATAGCCATAAAGACCAAACAGTCACCTCCCAAACAATGATACCTCGCAGATTACCAATAACCTTTCTAGAAGAGTTAACAAAAGAGACAAACTAATCGAGGCAAGACCCTTGAAGATTTACACGCAATCTGAACCACTTAATAACTCCTTAAACCTTAACAGAAAAATCGCAGGTTATGAATACATGTTGAATAGATTCTACAGCTTTTCCGCATAGACGATAATCCAAAGACTCCCCTCCAATATCTATTCTTCTTCTAACCCATTGATCCTTGGTAGCCTCACAATTCCTAAACATCCTCCAAAGAAAAACCTGCAAATTAGACGGTATCTTCGAAGCCCACACTGCTGTGAAACCTTCAATCATGACTGATATAACTTTAAAATCTATTCTATTCTGGAAAATCACTTCATAGCAATATGACACAGAAAATAGATGAGTATCTGTAGGGTCCCAATTAAAGGTGTATTCACCGTCATAATTCGGACTCACCTTCAAAATCAAATCCCTAAAATCCTCCAGCTCCCATTCCATCACAGAACCTGCAGGGAAAATAGGGTAGTTGAAAATCCAGTCCCACTCAGAATCAATCCAACAGCCCATCTTTACAACTGAAATCCTTGAATTTTCGCTATGGATGTACAGGTTAGGAAAAACCTCCTTCAATGAGTAATTGAGGGCCCATTTGTTGTGCCAAAATGCCATATCCTTCCCACTACCCAAAGAGCAAGACAATTGATCAACAAACATATCTGTGGAAGAAACTTTATCATAACATAACAAGGACAAGTCTTTCCATCAAATAGATGCATCCTTGCTGCCAAAGCTCCATCGAAACTCGTAACTTCCAACTTAAAGCTAGTTTTAACATATCTATGATCTATAATACCTTTCAAAATCACCTCCTTTTTCGTCAAAAAAACACCATTTCCACTTAAGAAAAAAAGACTTGTTAAAACATGTTAAGTCCTTTATGTCCAACCGACCTTTGCCACTTAACCTAATGGATAGACTTACGACCAGAGCTCCCACCCCAAAGAAAGTTACTTTGTAAACTTTGGAGAATCTTGATGACCGCTACGGGAAATTTGTAGAAAGACAGCGAATATAACAGTAACACATTAAGGACTGAATTAATCAAGACCACTCTTCCACCTATAGAATGATTCGTACCCTTCCAAGCATATAGCCTTCTCCTAACATAATCGATAACATCTCTCCACATGCTGATCTTCCTCAGACTGTCTCTAATGTGAATACTAACAAACTTAAATGGAAACTTAGTAATCTCGCAGTGCAGAAATTCCGAGGCAGCAACCAGAAATTCATAACTCAAGTTGACACCACCTACACTACTAATGAAAAAAATTAACTTTGAGCCCCGAAATACGCTCAAAGCCTCTTAGGACAGTCTCGACCTGGCAGCTTTATTCACCAACTATGTTATCCCTTCCATCACCAAAATAAACAAGAATGAAGATAACAAATCTCCATTCCCTAATCCCTTCTCAACAATAAAGTCTTTAGTTGCATTCACGTTGACAAGAACCGGCATATAATCATTGAATACAAGAGACTCCACCCAACTCTTCCACCTTTCTCCAAAGTTCATATTATGAAACAAAAATCTAAGAAACCCCCAATACACACAATGATATTGTTAGAACACAAATTGGTTCTTAGTTATATCTCTATGTTTTGATGATAACACTTATGAAATTTTGTATTAAGAAATTATATACTCTAAAATTTGTTCAAGTATTTTTGCTGCAGATATTAAAGTTAATATTCTTCTGAAAGCATAAATGGATCTGAACGCTGAACTATGCAAGGCTTTGAAGCGTCAGAAGCATCTCTTAGAAGAATCTAAGCGCTGCCTACAGAAGACTCTGAGCGCTCCCTACAGAAGGATCTGAAGCAGGAGCTACAGAAGCATCTGAAGCATAGACTAAAGATTTTGTATGAAGAGTTTCAAGCATAGTTTTTCAGAAGACTCTGATAGTACTGTACGCTGCAAGTACTGAGGATCTGATCCCTAAACTCTGCTCTAATGAAATCTCACGCTAAAGCGCACTTGCTGCAACACTCTGATACAACAAACTCTGAAGACATCAAGACTCTGATCACTCAAGGCTCTGATGTTAACTGCTGAGAATTAGAAACTTGTTAAAGAAGAATTCAAAGATATATCCGTTGGTTATGCCAAACGACTCTTTCCTCATTTATGCTGGACACAAGAACTCAGGCAAAAAGGATTTCTCTGAACGTTCTACTTCTAGGAAAGGTCAAATGATGTGAAGATAAAAAGGTTACAGCTACTTTGCAGACACGGTCTTCAAGCTTGCAAATGTCTTGGACTTCTGTGCCTATAAAAGAAAGTCTTAAACAACATTCTAAAGTTGACGATTTATTGAAAGAAATTCATTGAAAAGCTCCCATACAAAATATTATCTTTACTGAATTTATTTCATACGTTCTTAAACTTAAGTGTAAATCACAGTTGTGATATAGCTTTCTTAGAAGCATTCAAACACTTGTTTAGTTTTACATTTGATTGTAAAAGTTCCTTGAGAAGACCCAGTTGTGGTCAGTAGTTCTTGAGAAGACTAAGAACAGTTGCTCTTAGTGTTTGCTATTGTAATCAGTTTGATTAATAGTGGATTAAGTCCTTGTGGAGAAAGGCAAATCACTCTTGATAGGGTGGACTGGAGTAGTTGAGTTCAACGAACCAGGATAAAAATCTTTGTGTTATTATTTCCTTATAATTTTTTCAAATCCTTATTCAACCCCCCCTCCTTCTAAGTATTTTCTCACCTTCAGTTGGCATCAGAGCTCCGGTTCTGTGTGTGCTATCACTTCACCGTGACAAAAAAGATCCAGTGAGAAAAATACTCTTGATATTCTTTGGTTGTTATTATGGCTGAAGCTTCAACATCTAACAGCAACAACAGATATGAAGAAAGGGATAGAATCAACACAAAACCCCCTATGTTTGATGGGGAGAAGTTTGACTATTGGAAGGACAGAATAGAGAGTTTCTTCCTTGGTTATGATGCTGATCTATGGGACTTAGTCATTGATGGTTATGTTCACCCTACTGATGGGGATGGCAAGAAAATTGATATAAAATCTATGACTGAAGCCCAAAAGAAGGAGTTCAGAAATCATCACAAAGCTAGAATAATCTTATTAAATGCAATATCTCATATTGTGTATGAGAAGATCACCAACAGAGAAACTGCATTTGATTTGTTTGAATCTTTGAAGATGACACACGAAGGGAACTCACAAGTTAAAGAGACCAAGGCTCTGGCACTAATCCAGAAGTATGAAGCGTTTAAAATGGAAGAATCTGAATCTATAGAAACTATGTTCTCTAGATTCCAGATCCTAACAGCTGGGTTAAAGGTGCTGGACAAAGGCTATTCAACTGCTGATCATGTGAAGAAGATCATCAGAAGCTTGCCCATTAGATGGAGACCAATGGTCACTGCTCTGAAGCTAGCTAAGGATCTGAACAAGATCACATTGGAGGAATTGATCAGCTCTCTGAGGAGCCATGAAATTGAACTTGAAGAAGACGAGCCTCAAAAGAAAGGTAAGTCAATTGCTTTAAAGTCCAACAAATCTGTGAAAGCTTTGCAGGTGTTAGAAGAAAGTTCTGAAGAGTCTTCTTTTGAAGAAGAAGATGAACTGCCCTTGCTGCCCAGAAGAATCAACAGACTCTGGAAGCACAAACAGAGGAAGTTCAAGAACTTCAAGAAGCCAGATCAACGCAAAGAGTCCTCTGGACACAAAAGATCTGGAAAGAAGGAGGTTGTTTTTTTTGAATGCAAAGAACCTGGCCATTACAATAATGAATGTCCAAAGCTTCTAAAGGAAAAGCCAAAGACGAAGTTTGACAAAAAGAAGAAGATTCTAATGGAAACCTGGGATGATTTAGATGATTCTGAATCTTCATCAGAATCTGAAGAAAAATGCGCCAACATGGCTCTGATGGCAGGCATGGAAGATCAGGATGAGGGATCATCTGGATCTGAATCTGACTCAGAATAGGTACTTTTTGATCTCTCTAGGGAAGAACTTATTAAAGTTTTATCAGAATTCCTGAAAAACTATAACCAGATTAAGCTAAAATGCAAGAAGCTTAAATGCAATCTTGAATCTGAGAATAATCTGTTAAAGTAAGAAGTTGCTGAGCTCAAAGAAAATAATTTAAAAATGAAAAACAATTTTGAAAAAGCTCAACAAGACTCAGAATCTGAAACTAAGTCAAAGTGCAAAAATATTTTAGAAGAATATGACTTCAACTTTCAGACGTTTCTGGCTATAAGCATAGATAGAAGCAAGATGGCTTCAATGATCTATGGAGTTAGCAGAAACAACAGGAAAGGAATTGGATATGAATCTTCCTCTGGAAAGGATTTAAATCCAATGCCTGTTGATAAACTTATCATTAAGAAGACTCCCTTATATTCTCATTTTAAGTTTGGTCATCTGAATGATATTAAACACACACGTTCTGATACGTTCTGATCAGAACGTTCCTGTGTTTAAACCAAAAGTGAGTCAAAACAAAACTGTTGTAAAAAGACAGAAGTTCAGACAAACTTTTAAGGTAACTAACCTAAAAGGACCCAAAAAGATCTGGGTACCTAAGGATAAGATAATCCCTGATGCAGATGTATTTAGCAGAAAAGTCAAGACGCCAGTCATGGTACCTGGACTCTGGTTGCTCACATCACATGACGGGAGAAAGGTTTATGTTCCAAAACCTGGAGCTTAAATCTGGAGGAGACGTGAAATTTGGAGAGAATCAGAAGGGCAATATTATTGGCTCTGGTACTATTGGCAATGGTAACCTTTCCTCTATATCTAATGTTTTACTTGTAGAAGGATTAAAGCATAATATATTGTCCATAAGTCAATTAAGTGACAATAGTTATGACATAATCTTTAATAAAAAATGTTACAAGGCTGTTAGTCAGAAGGATGGCTCAATCCTATTTAATGGAAAGAGGAAGAACTACATTTACAAAATAAATCTTTCAGAACTTAAGGTTCAAAATGTAAAATGCCTTATGTCTGTTAATGATGAGCAATGGGTCTGGCACAGAAGATTGGGGCATATTAATATGAGACGTATATCTCAGATTAATAAACTCAATCTGGTCAGAGGACTTCCTAAGTTGAAGTTCAACTCATATGCTCTTTGTGAAGCATGTCAAAAAGGAAAATTTTCAAAATCTTCTTTTAAAACTAAGAATGTTGTTTCAACTTTAAGACCATTAGAATTACTTCACATTGATCTGTTTGGACCAGTGAAAACTGCATCCATCAGAGGCAAGAAGTATGGATTAGTCATTGTTGATGACTATAGCAGATGGACATGGGTGAAATTCCTAAAACACAAGGATGAGTCACATTCTGTGTTCTTTGACTTCTGCAAACAAGTCCAGAATGAAAAAGATTTTAAAATTGTCAAAGTCAGAAGTGATCATGGAGGCGAATTTGAAAACAAATATTTTGAAAAATATTTTAATGAAAATGACATTGCTCATGATTTCTCCTGCCCTAGAACTCCACAATATAATGGAGTTGTAGAGAGGAAAAATAGAACTCTACAAGAAATGGCCAAAACCATGATCAACGAGACTAATCTGGCAAAACACTTTTGGGCAGAAGAAATAAATACAGCTTGTTATATTCAGAACAGAGTGTCTGTAAGACCTCTTCTTGAAAAGACTCCC